ACGCGGTTATAGGAGCATTGAAGGTTAGAGGACTTATCCTATGACAAGAGTCATTACATACCATAAACTATGGCCAAAAAATCCTTTAGACGCTGGTTAGTTGTCAGATACATAATTTGGATACAAATAATTTTCGCTGCTTTCAAAAAGGTTCGGAGTAAGACTCAGGGTTGCCACAGAATTTAGAAAATGAAATTCCCTGACACATTTTGGTGAACTTCTCTGACAATTGAAGATCTGACGGATGGTTAAGAGGGCATAATTGAAAATAGTTTTCAGGCAAAATTTGTTGTTTGAAACTTCAAACCCATTTTAGAAAGCGAATAAAGAAGATTTAACAAATTTTCCCTGGAATTTCCCGGCTTTCCCTCACTGTGGCAACCCTGAAGACTTTCCGCAGGTGGATTTACTTTCCGTTCTTTCATTTCCTTTAAGACGATTTATAATTTTAAACGTTGAACAGTTTTTTAATACTATGGGAGCTTTGCTTCATGCAAAGGGCAAGTGCAAGTTTTTCCAAAATTACGAGGATAAATTTACCGAACCTGAATTTGAACATCGAGTATGATTCCAATGGAGCTGAAAAAAAGTTTTTTAATTGAATTATTTCCAATACAGCAATGTTCAAAATCCGCTATTCTTCTCGGGATGATTTCCGTCACGTCTGACTAAGTCTAGCCCGTCTATCAAACGAGCACTCAAAATTCAGATGCTGTAAGGAACATTTGTTTCCGTTCCAAAATCTTGCAGCCTTGATGCCAACTCATGATCTACAAAACCAAAATTAACTGAAACTTGGTCCTCATGGCTACTGACGACTCCCAGATACATAAACTCACTTACTGAGAGAATGAATAAAATTGAAATCGCGTATGGGCAAAGGTCGTTAATAATTGTAGAATTAAGTGTCCACATCGAAACGTGGAATAGGAGACGGTGTGAAAAGTCTAGAGTTCGCCTCCTGAGCGACGAGTTGACGTAAAAGGTTGAACTTGAGTGAAAGTCGCAAGTCGATCAATTCCAAGATAAGCGAATGATCCAGCCGCACAGTGATTCGAGTCAATAGGAGAAGTCAGACAAAATCTGGCAACTTTGAAAGCTCATATTATTGAAAATATGAAGCAAGAAAGTTTAAAAAAAGCTCCAAAAGTTTTTTCGAGAGATTTCCTTTCAGGAACACCCATTGAAATTTAATTTGTGACGAAATAAACATTAAAATTTGATATTTTAGCCAAAAATTTTATGTCCGACCGCTTCCATTGGCTCGTTCCACTGTTCGCCGATGAAAATGGAAGAAACGACTCTTCTAGCTAAATACTTGCCTATGATAATAAGATACATCAAAGATAGGATCTAGAATTTCTCTATTCTGAAGCAAGGAGGTCCATACGCAATGGACCACTAGACAAGGTACAAATTCAAGCAATCTGATACATGTTTCTTAACCAGAATTTCACGTAGAACACGATTCGCGCAACGAAAATTACTGAAACCAGCTCCTGATGAAGATATTAACCTTTTTATTTCACATTGGTTACGCGGATTTTGAACTGCCCGCTCACAAGAAACTCAAAGCTCTACGTGAGTCAAATCGCGCACCACAACAGTTTCAGCTAGCCTCTCAATCGATCACTGTTCATAACCCACCATGTGTTGTTCAAATTATAAGCAATTTGCTATAACTGAGCCCGCAAGCGTCAAAATTGAGGTTGCCAGATTTTTATATAGCAAAGACTGCCATGATAATGTTCAGCGCGCGATGTGAATCACGTAGAGCATTGAGTTTTAATGAGCGGGTGGTTTGAATTCACGCATCAGGAATCATTTAATATCATTGTAAGGAGTTAATTTCGGTACCTAATGTTTGTTGTGCGCATCGTGTTTTACGTGAAATTTTGGTTAAAAAATATGTATCAGAATGCTTAAATTCGTACCTTGTCTAGTGGTCCATTCAAAATCAGAAGAGCCGAGACGAGGTGGGCCTTCGAAAGGCGCGAATAACAAATGCCTCGTTCGCAATCTGAATAACTTTGCAGAAACTTCCGAAAAGGGAGTCTGTATGCTGGCTGTGAGAGGGGAATGCGCCTAAGGTAATAAAAATTAATGGAGGTCGCGGAACACGACCTTAGACCCGTACGAGTGGCGACGCGACGCGACGTGAAACGTGTAGACGGGAAATCCTGGAGACCTAGTGGGGGGCACTTTCATTTCGGACATTTTTATTTCGGAGGAAGCTTGACAGACCTAAAAGTGGATGGCGTTGAAGCAAACCACTCACATCTACATTGCTCATTTTTTTAAGAGAAAAAAAAAGAGTCTGAGCTTATTTAAACCGTATATTTTATATATATATATATATATATATATATATATATATATAGTTGTTTGAAGTCTGCATTTTTGCAAAATTCTGAACATGAGGCCAGAAACAATGCAAGATTGAAACTAAAATAACCTTGAGCGAATAGAAAATGCTTCCTTTGATATTCGTGCAGATGTGATCGTACATTACTGAACTGTGTCCAATCACTGAACAGAAAGGTCATACCTTACGTACCAACTAAAAAAAAAACAACATATATAAATGGGCAGAATATTGCCAGCTGTGCTGCTCTCTGAATAGTTCATCGGTCTTAGGCTTTCCATAGGGATCTTGTGGACTAATGTAAACAAATCAGATCAAGAGGTTTTTGTATTATAGGGTGGGAAATGAATAATAATCAGTAAAAATGTGGGATTTTCTGCAAAAATGGCGATCAATATTTGTTCAGGACTCATTTTAGAGGTTAGAAATCATACAATCCGCACCAGGTCACGTCGAGAACTCTATAGCTACTTTGTTTCCACAACTAGGAGTGAAGGGGCTCCCACGAAACCCGCCAGTATCGTACATGCGTCGACACCTGGCAGTTGTTACCAATTCTGTACTATTGCGTACAGGTATTTTTTTCAAAACTCAGAATATGCATATGACTGATTTGCCCCCCCCCCCNCCCTTATCCGATTCACAAGTAAATTCTACTTGTCATTTCTGTAGATACAGTTTTTGAATTGATTTCTTGTGAAAAGAGAGCTGAAATTTTCCTTCAAGCGTATTGCATTCTTTATGCCAATTTTTCAAAGATGTACCAGTATTATCAGCAAAATTTATAATTTACTTCCAAAGCAGATTCATTTTTAGCCCACTATGAGACGAAGGATTCAACTGATTGTATTTGATACATCAAAAATGCGAGATTGTATCGCTATCGATTGGTTCAACATGTAAACACAGCCTCAAGAGCCAATTGAGTAATCTGTGGTAACGGGTTTCTCTTATACGGATTTTTTATTATTTTGCGTACCACATGGGAATAAAAAGTGATCGTTAGGAATTTTCTCTTTTTCAGCTTTTCTAACTTAAATTCTCAAATTTCCACGCCACGGGTTCGAATCCCGGCGGTGGCGACAAATTTTCACGGAACTGACGAGTGGATCTACGGAAACAGATTCTACTCGGCCTTGAAATCCCTTTGAATTTCTGAAAATTCGAAAGCCGCAGCATAGGTGTGCCAAAATCCCCTGATGTCTACTGACAATAAACTCCTGTCTATAGATGGCTGTAGATTCCTAAACTGGAATAGAAGCCGAATAAACTCCAAAAATAAAAATAAAAAAATTAAAAAAAAGTTTGAGGTTATGTTTTACTGTTTTGAAGTAAACGATACATCGAACCACTATCGGATATCGAGAATCGTTCCCGGGGCCATTGACTCTGGCGCTAAAACCGACAGCGTCTGTCAACGGGACAGACGTCGGCGTCGCTTACGAGTACATTATTCAAATGAGTCCGAATGACCGGGTGGAATGATACTGACGGTGCCCCGTGCCGCCCTCCCCCCTCCCCTACTACCCCCGGGCTACCATCCCTCGATACGCTTTCATAACGAGCGACCGTAGAAACAGCCGTCTTTTCACCCTCCGCGACCTTTAGACTAACCTTGATTTGGGCCCGTTGAACCCGGGGCCGAAATCGGGAGAGCACCCTGATGCGACAAAAATCGCGCCTTGGTGGGGTGAGAGGGGAGGAGGTGTGACATCTGCTTTCGTTTTCTGACTGGTGACCGGACGATTGCCAACTACTATACAGCAAAATTGGAGCAAGTGAACATATCACGTCTGACATATATTCGTCCCCGGACATGCTAAACTTGGTTGCGTGATACAGCAATTTCAACTCCTGAGCCGCTCAAATTGCATCCATCGAGTTGAAGGCGAACTTGATTTCTAACTCCAGATTCCAGTTATCCAGGCATGACCACGAGAGCGGTGCTCAATTCTAACTTTTGCAACTTAATAAAAACGCGTGTACGTGAAAAATAACACGTGGAATAAAAGGGTTGTGGGCGAGTATCCGAGGATTAAAAAGTATTGGGTGAAAACGAGTGGGCGAATAGTTCCTTAGGCGGAAAGACTGTGGGTGAGTGAAGTCGTAGTAACCCGCATTTTTCCCCCTTCTTTTTTTCTTTTTTTTTGGGGGGGGAGGGCCGCTTAAAAAACAACAGGACTGTATGTTAACCTAATATATTTTCCCTTTTCTTAATAATGAGGCATTTTCGGTATCATCAACCCATATCATCATGTAAAGCTGGATCGATTTGTGTACCTCGGAAAGGATGGGGACGTTTTTTTCGTATCTAATTTAACTATTTAACTAACTAGACGCTAGGCTCGTCTAATTTTTACTACCGAGGCCAAAATTGACCTATCTCTTCCCCACAATCAACCAGTAATTTTCGGAAAATCGAATTTTCAAATAAAAGCCTCTTTCAGCTCAAAAAGCCTCCTTCAAAAAAAACTCGAATTTCAAAAGGCGCTGAAGAAAAACTGAGATTATTTCTTGATCGGGTGGCCCTGTTGACCTATGTTATTGATTTTCAAACTAAATCGGCATCGACGTTTGAATTACCGGCATCTACCTCACCCATCATGAGTATTGAGAGTTACAGGTTGATCGGCTGTCAGTGCGACATTGATGCTGTGAAGTAGACGACGCCACGGGTGCATCACACAAACGAGGGAGCTCTATCGTCAGTCGTCGCAAGACGGGAACATCTGTCGGCCTTGGGATCGACAAAAAGTAGACCGCAAGTAATTAGTGTTGTGGCTTCCTCCCGTTACGTTGGACCCCGGATCAATCGATTTCCCCGTGCCCCTGATTTTTTCCCACGGAAAATGCAACCGAACGGACTCCAGTGTTTCGTCATCGCCGCTGTCGTTGCTCTGTGTAAGGTACCTATGACTTCCTACTTGTGACGTGCGGTTGGGCCGTCATTACATTACGAGACGCTTCGAACCTGGTGAGAGGTTGAGGGGGTGCCTCTACTCTCGTTACGCATCGTTAAAGGGGGGGGGGGCTGAAAAGATTTCAGCAGAGCTTTACGTTACGGATTTTAGACGTTCTCTCACGGAATCAATCAGAAGGTCTTCGCAATTTCGAAAATCCTCGCAGCGCAACATTCAAAAGAGTAAAAAAGTATATAGAAGAGCGTTGCGTTACGACTTTTCGACGAACTTGAACTTTAATTCAATAAATTACGTGACGCTTCGAACATGGTGAAAGGTTGAGGGGGTGCTCTACTCTCGTTACGCATCGTTGTT